AAACAGTCTCCAAGAATCGGACACGTTTAAACATAAAAAAACCCCAACTTGTCTATTCTTTTGAAATGCATCAAATTATTAATGATGACTATTATAAAAATATTTGCTATGAACTTTCCTACACTGCCTTCAGGCGTCAAAATAACCAATCAGTGTCCACAGCTCTCTTTACAAAAGAGAGTTTTGTGCATTCCCATTATTCAAGCAGTCATACCTATTATGGAAATATATGTCAGGAAATAAATTATGGTTATATCGTTTGATTCTGCAATAAAAATAATAATTCTCAGCTCCAATAGAAAGTAGGGAAATAGAACAAATTTAGAGAAGTTTTTAGTGTTGCGTAATTTATCATTAATAATGCACAGGCCTGTCTCTGAAGACAATCTAGAAAGCTCAGTTGGTCCAGACTCAAGTAGCCAAACTGTTGGCAGTGATAAGCAATTCAACAACATAACTATTGCTTCAGTCACCATAAGTGTGCTGCTGTCAAGTTAGAAAGTTCTATATCAGGGGTCTTCAAACTTGGCCCTTTTATGACTTGTGGACTTCAACTCCCAGAATTCTTCAGCCAGCATGCCTGGCTGAGGAATTCTGGGAGTTGAAGTCCACGAGTCATAAAAGGGTCAAGTTTGAAGACCCCTGTTCTATATGGATGACTTACGTCTATTGGCAGGGTGGTATCCACTGATGTTTCCACCCATTCTGTGCAAGGAATGTTCAGGAGATTATGAACCTGATGTAACAGGTCTGTCTCCTAGGTCAAAGTGTGAATTGAAGGAGCAAAGCATGACAGGCTTTGACCTGGCAACTTGGGAGCCATTGAAGGAAGAGCTTGAATGTGTAGAGAAGTCCGGAATCAACATCTGTTATAGAAGCACAACATCAGGCTCAGTCACAGGCAGAGAAAGATTAACTACGCCTGGCGTAGTTTTGATTGGGCTTTTCTAAGGGTTTTATATGGGGTATTTTAGAGCAGGCTTTTTATTCAATATTTATTGTGATTTTTATTATTGCCTGTTCACCGCCCTGAGTCCCGTAAGGGAGATAGGGCGGTATACAAATTTAAATAATAAATAATAAAAATAATAAAAAAGGGAGTTAGAATAGAGACATGACAGGGTCGTGAGTCAGGAAAACGGGCACAACTGAATTTGTACAATAAAGAAGAGTTGGGAATCAGACTTCTATTGGCAGATGGTTTTCCAGCCTTGGACCTGACTTCCTCAACACGTGTTGCTTCTGATCTCCTGGTTAATCCTCAGACTGGCATGACACTACCTTCAACTACCTTCAGATTGGATGATTACATCTTGGGTTTATCTACATGAAATGAGACTACATTCAAATCGGATGATTAGATCTTGAGTTTATCTACAAGGGCTCTTGACTTCTGAAACAAGCTTGTTTGCTGTGCCTGAGCTTTCCAGTTCTTGCACTGGAGTGAGATAGGTGACACAAAGACTTCTGAGCCTCATCTCATCTCCTGCAATTGTAACTGCTGGAACAGGATATCTGGAGAAGTCCTTGGTGAGAGCAGTCCACCTTCCAAGTTTCATTTATCCTGATTTTCTGGCTTTCCATTCAGCTGTGAAAGCTGTATTATTTTGCTAATGGTGCTGCTCTTAGCAGAGCAGACTAAAGAAATTGTCCTAGAAATCACAGAACAACCTGATTGCTGTCTTGAGAAAGCTTTTGTTGGGAAATGCGACATATAAATTCTTAATAGAGCAAATGATATCCGAATCACCTGAAAAAGTATGGATTGTACATAAGATCATTAATGCTGTCGTTGAACAGACTTTCTCCCTTGTGATTTTTGACTCTCAAAATATAAAGGCATATCTATAAGACTTTCTAGCTCATTGTTTTTCAAAATGATTTGGCAGCCTATGTTGAAAAATAACGCAATATTAAAATCTCATTAAACATTCACAAGTAATGACAATGAATGCATCAGTTTTAATTTTTAGCACAGCAAATAATGATAAACATAACCCATACAAACAAAAGCACTTTTGGGGTCCTCTGTAATTTTTAAAAATTGGTCTGCAGAAAAAAAACCCCACCGTTCTAGCCTAGTATCTTATTGCTGATAGTGTTCTTTGTACCCTATGAAATGATAAAGTACTGATTGCTTTAGCCAGATTCCTGATACTTCAGAAGAATAGTATGAATCATAATAGCAGTAATGCATTTAGTTCTCGTGGATTCTTAGACTTGATTCAGTTAACACATTAAACCATAATGTAGTTTGTTTGGTTTTGGCTGGTATATTATGTAAAACCAGCTAATTGTCATTAATTGCACAAACTAACATTTCATGGCTTCTCGCAATGGATGAACAAGATATTTGACATTACCACGTCAGCTTTACAATATTGTCTTCTGAGATAGTCTTTATCAGCTGGGTATTTCAAAGTCTGATGATTATAAGTTTTAGAATTTCATGCTAGCATGTAGGGGTTGATTCCTGGAAATTGCAAACGTTTGATGGACTCCTGGTTTGGGAAAGATATTCTAATTCTGATTAGTATTCAGAAAACTGAACATTTTATTTTTTTAACTGGGGGAGCTGTTTATTTATCAATTCTGTAAAGCTATTCAACTCCATGATAACTCTGGTGATGTGCAAAATTAAAAATAGATTGAAACAAACATAAAACAGAAATGCTGAATATTTGGAAGGGGCAAAACAAACATTTTATCTAATATAATTACTTTCCCCCAAGCAGTCCACTACCCAAGCTAACTTCCTATTACATTTGATCTTTGTTTTTGTGGCCTGAAAGGGAGAGATAGAAATTGTGGTTTAGTTTATTTGATTAACACATTCAGGGAACCAGTAAACTCATTTTTAACAATGAAATATGCCCCCCAAAGAGGCATATTGTACTCTGTTTAATATAAGCATTTGACAAATCCACGAATAATAGGCATCTTTTAAGAAGAAGCATCCCTTTCCTTCCTTCCTTCCTTCCTTCCTTCCTTCCTTCCTTCCATCCATCCATCCATCCATCCATTTCTTATGCATGTGTGTATTAGTTAAACAAAAATGCACTTTGACTTTGATGTTATTAGTGCATATGTGTGTGTGTATACATACACATATACATACAAATACAATAAAAATATTGAACAATAAAAAAGTTCTTCAATAAAATAAAGGATATAATATGAACTAAAGCAATCAATATTGTTAATTTTGGATCCGATCAGTAATTATGCTACCAGAACTAATTTTATGATATACAGTAAGTCATAATAACCAGGGATAATAGTGGAGAGAAGGCTGTTCTCTTCCATAGAGAGGGGGAAATAATCAGTTTAATTATGTGCTTACTCCTTAATTTCTTTCTTATACTGACTCAGTTCCATATATAGCTAGTAGAAGGGCTATAAATCGTGCAGTCTTTCATCAACATTCTGGTTGAATCTTAGGTCCTATTTTGAAGCCTTTACTTTAGTGTTTCTTGCCTATTAGAAGATGGCGCTGCATGTTTCCAGTAAGATACATTAGTTTAGAAACAAATGTTCCTCAAACTGAACCCCTGCAAATTGCATTTCTTAATTTGCATATTTTGCGGGGAAATTATACAGTTAGCCCTAGATTGAAAATAGAGTCTCTTTGTAGTTGAAGTCTCCATTCCTTTCTTTATTGCACTATTTCTTATTTCCTTGAATAAAAATGAAACAAGATGCTTTGCTTAGCATTCTACATTATGTAGAGTTTTTTTTTCATGAAGGAATTACTGAAATATATTAGAAAATAAACAAAGGCACTTCCTACAACAGCTGCTGTGTGTGTGTTTTTTTCTTATGGCTTCAGTCAGGGACATAATTAGAGTGCTGTGGGCCTCAAGGAATAAAATCTCTGTGATGGGACCCCCAGTGATGAGAGGGGCCAGGTGACCCCCATCCAGGCTACAACAATTGAGAGCAGCAATAGAAGAGGAAGAGGAGGGTAATTTCCTTGGTTTTTCCCCTTCACACCAACAGGCTGGGTCCTGGAAACGTCATCCCTCACCTCCTAACTCACTCAAGGCATCGCTGTGCTCTCCTCCATTCATATTTCCATTCAATATACATGCAGCCTCCGTGTCCCTTCCCACATGCCTTTTCCCCCTCTGTCTGAAAGACTTTCTATGCTAGGCATCTGGGCTAAGAAAATCTGGATGATTGTGAGATGGAAGCCAAGAAATATGGAGGCATTTGCATTGATTTTTCACATAGCAGACGTTATTCACTCCAATGTCCCTGGAGAATTAATAAAACAACGTGGAAAATGATCTGAAATTTCTGGAGGACTCTGTTTTTACTGAAAACAGAAACTGTTATTTTGGAAAATAGGACATGATATGATCAATAACTCATGTTGGAGTAATGCTGCTTGATAACAAGAATCCCAAGAGCTTTTCACTCTAAATAAAAATGGAACTGTTTACAAGAGGTCCTCATTTTACCATCCTAATTGAGCCCAAATTGATCTTGCTGCCATAGGTTGAAGCATCACATGACCAGATTTGAAGGTATGAGCATTTTTATGATGGTCATTAAGCAAAAGCTGCAGTTGTTAAGCAAATCCATTTTCCCTAGTGGGTGTTTTTTTTTTGTTTCGTTTTTAACCAGAAACTGGAAGGACAAGCAAGAAATTGCAAAAAGCAAAAAGCTCTGGGGAAGGGGAGTCATCATAAGTTTGAATGGTCACTAAGCAAATGATTTTATGTCAAAGACTACTTGGGAAAAAACTGGAAGAAGACAATGGCAAATCATTTCTATACTGATGGCAAAAAAGTTATATATTTTGTCCAGAAAGTCAACAAGAATTAAATTTGATTAAAATGAGGATTATTTATTAATTACGTTTACTAATTTCAGTAAAATGTTTTTTCAGATCCATGCTAAAAACATCCATTTTTTTCAACCTTAGAACAGTTTTTAAATTCTTTGTAGACAGTAAAATATGATACTGAAACCCATTTCGCATTTTTGTGTTTCAGATGGAGGAAGCCTGTGAAGATATAGATCAAATGTTCAGTGACTTATTGGGAGAAATGGATTTGCTAACTCAGGTAAGTATGCCCATCGGAAGTAGAACAAATAAACCTATTTTCTTCCTCTTCAGTTTTCTGTTTTTTATATTTATTAAATTGTAAACATTCTTTTCTTTATGCTAGTACTTTTTCCCTGTGTGAGGCTTTTAAATTGATGGAGTAAATCAGTGCAATACAATGCAATCAAAACACCAAAGTTTTTCTACTTTGCATACTTACTGCATCTTTCAAAATAGAAGGGGGAAAAAAAGACTGCAACCCTCCTATCCACAGCAGTACTTTATGCTAAAATTGGGATTTGTGTTGTATAGTTTGCACGTTACATTTCCCTCCAAAGTTAATTAATTAATGCTGAGAACGGAACATGGCAAATAGTAGTGATACTGGATACATGTAGATCAGTGTTTCTCAACCTTGGCAACTTTAAGATGTGTGGGCTTCCACTTCCTGGCTGGGAATTCTGAGAGTTAAAGTCCATGTAATGTTAAAAGTTGCCAAGGTTGACGATTATATCAGTTTTGTTATGCTGCAGTCTGATTCTACAGTTGTTGAATTTTTTTTCTTCATTAATCTACATTCAGCACCCCATGATGACAAAGTGAAAACAGAATTTTAAAAATGTCTATGAATGTATTAAAAGAAAAAACTGAATTATCACATTGGCATAAGTATTCAGGCCCTTCACTCAGTACTTTGTTGAAGTACCTTTGGCAGCAATTACTGCCTCACGTCTTCTTGGGTATGACGCAACAAGCTTTGCACATCTGGATTGGGGGATTTTCTGCTATTCTTCCTTTCAAATCTTTTCAGATTGGACTACAATTCCTGGAAGTCTCTGCCTCTACTTCTTCTTCCCCCATCAGAAGATGAGTCAAGCAGGGCCATAATATATTCTTTTACAGATTGTGTTAATATTAAGAAAGGTATTTTGGGAAAACATGGAATCTGGAGCCTGTATAATATGCTCTTCCTCTGGAAGGGCCTTTTGTATTACCTTCAGGCATTTGTACTGCTGGTGACAACTTATTTGACCTTTACCACCACACAAGATTTCTATCTAGTCTTGTTCCTTGTTTTTCTTTTCCTCCTCTGGAGACATCTGTTTTCCTTTTACACAATCTTCATTATGTTTTTGCCTTCTTTTTTGTTGCTTGTGTTTGATGAAGAGTAGCAAAGTTTTTATGTAAGCAAGTGGTTTGCTTGTATCTACAGTAAAGCTATGGTTGAGAAATTACTGATCAATTCTTGCTATAACTGGGAGGATTTATTTTACAGCCAAATGTTACTTAATATTTGTGTGTGTGTGTGTGTGTGTGTGTATGTATGTGCATGCAGGTGTGGGCTTCTTCCTTTTTGGCAGTGTGACTTCTGATAAGTAGAGGCCAGGGGTAAGCAACCTTGGCTCTTTTATGACTCGTGGACTTCAACTCCCAGGATTCCTGAGCCAGCATGGGTCAGCTTGGAAACCTCTCTCTTTCCCCTCAGCATGGCTGGCTCAGGAATTCTGGGAGTTGAAGTCCACGAGTCATAAAAGAGCCAAGGTTGCCTACCTCTGGTATAGGCACATAGCTTATGAACGAAACTTGCATTATTTTGAGCTAATGGAAAAGCGGTAAATTGGGCTTAGCTGGAATTTGCAATTTTAAAATGACAAGATGGGAAATGGCATTAGACAGATTTTTGATCTGTTTGGGGTCCCCCCCCCCCCCGTCTTTATTCTTCCATTTTGGTGCCTTACATTTCAGACCACCTTTCCAATAAATCTAAAGTAGACATCAACTGTTCATAAAACTGCCATCAGACCTTTATTAATGAGATTGTTCCCTCATCAATACAACATTGGAGTTGGCCATAAGATTGTTGCCAGAATAGGCTTTTGTCTTGGTTCCCCTTTTGTTCTATTTCTTTATTTGTATATAGTTCTATCTTTTAAAGCTTCCATCTCTATTTTTCCCAATGTGTCTGCTATTTTCTTTCATGGAATAGAGCAATTGTACATTCTCATCTTCCCAATAAAGCTTTCCATGTATTTGGAATACTTTTACTTCTCATTTCTTGTTTTATACCTAGCTTGCAAATGAGAAGTATATGAGTGCAATTCCAAAATATACTTAGAAATTTGTGTTGGTTATCTATGTCTTGGGGCATCCTGTTACACAGCCTTGGTATTCCTCTGTTTAGGGAGATCTCTAATTTTCCCTGGTTGTAGGGAACTGCTCTCCTACTTTCCATTGCTGTTTCCACCTTTCTCCCATCCTTCCATTTTCCACCCTGTCCTAAATTGTGGGAGGAGCTGATTATCCCATTCTTTTCAGTCAACACTCCTGATAAAGAAATATTTTGTCAATGTTGAGATTGAGTGATTTACTGTGACTGGAAGATTCCCATAGGCAAACTTTGATTCTAATAATTGATTTTTTAAATGTTCAGAACAAAAGTAGATCTGTGAAAACATGATTGATCCTTGAAGCACATGAAAAACAATAAAAACTGACAGAACGTTGTGAAATCTCATTTCACATCAGTGGTGGAAGAGACAGTGTTAGATTCCTTCTCCAAATTTCAGGTTCTCCCTATGAATATTAACATTGCTGGATATTTTGCTAGAGTTGTGCAATGAAAGAAGTTATGTGCAGGCACATCACAGGGAAGTAGTTCGCCAAAGAAGTAGTTGTTACAGCATGGTACTACTTCAGCTATCTTATAAGGCTGTTGTAAGATGAATAGTAAGAAATTTCAAGTTAGACACTGGGTGGGTTAGCATAATATGTTTATTTATGGTTAACCTAACCAGGGACTTACTCAATTCAACCCATTTTCTGTATCTTAGTACATGTTTAACCTGAGTTTCCAACAAGCTAGTGTTTTCTACAGATCCAGCCAAAAGGAAGTACTTTTTCATGTAACACATGGGTAAACTATGAAATTCATTATCATAAAATGTAAATATGATTATCAACTGGGATAGTTATAAGAGAGGTGTATTAAGGGAAGCAGTTGTTCTACTTTGGACATATTATGCAAAAATCTAGCTCTCTGAAGAAGATTCTAATGATGGGAAAGTTGAAAAAAAGAGAAGAGGAGGACAACCCACAGCAAGATGGCTAGATTCAGCTATAGTGTGGCATTGGAAGGACCGGATTAGGGATAGATCATCATAGAGAAAATATATGTGGTTGATAGGAGTTGAAAATAACTTGATGGCACATTAGCTCAATCAAGTTTAACAATGAACCTTGATCATCAGAGCTTTCTTCAAGAGGTGGTCAAAAAGTCAAGATGATAGCTATAATTGTATAGTTGAAGATCATCTGGTTTTTAAAAAATGTTAGTTGGCAAATACAGCACAATTACAAGAAAAAGCTCACCATTTCGTGAGATAAAAATTATTGGAAGCCATGTATTATACTGATTGCCCAGAATTTAAATGTTGACACTGACTTACAATAAAATTAAATAAATGAATTAACAGGATAACAAATTACATTTTTTAATATTTTAATGGTTTATTAAGTCAGTGTTTTATTGTTAAAATGGTTTTGTGTACTCTACCTTGAATTAAGGGATTACAGGGTCATAAAAAGGGATTAATAATGTAAATGTAATAAAGTTTCAGATTTGTTGGGACTATAGCCAGAATCACTGAGAATGTACATTCTGGGATTATAATACCAGCACATCTAGAGAATACCAATACTAGCTGCTGGAAAAGAAAAGTGTCATTTTTATGTATGGGTTGTGGGTCTTTTAGGAGCATCTGGTTGTCTCCTGTGACAACAGAATGCTGGACTGGACAATCTTCTGGTATAAAACCACCATGTTTTTTCTTAAATTCTTAGATGCTCCCATTCTTCTGTGTAATGTTTATGCAATAAACACTGTTCTGTATCTTGGAGGTTATTATTAGCCAAGTTTCCTGTGCTAATTTTGATCTTCAAATGTGTTTATGTTGTTCATCATACAGTTACAATAAACCATTATTCAAAAACTATTTTATTATAATATGCATGTATTTATATGCATATGTATGTATGTGATATTGTAGTTGAAGAAAATATTCTGGAGAAAAAGATTGTAGGTTTCATAATCCTAAAGCAAAATATTTCCTATTGAGAGAAAAAGCCAATAGAAATATAAATGTACTTCCCATCATAGGAGATTATAAAGGCTTTCAAATTTTAAAACTGTTCTTTTTTTTAATCAGAGCTTAGAAGTGGAATCCATGCCTACTCCACCCCCAAAATTATCTGATGCTGAATTTAATTTTGCAGTTGGCTTCAAAGATTTAAATGGTAAGTACTAAAAAAATGCATTGGGCATATACTTTCTTATGCAGATTAGAAGTATGATAATTGTCCAGTGAATTCCAATGTATTCTACCTAGTCTTCAAAAGATAAATACAGCTGACATTATAAAAACTAAAGTTTTAGAATGTTTCCCCAAATCTTCTATTAGCTTGAATAGGACAGGGATAGGCAGCCTTGGCTCTTTTATGACTTGTGGACTTCAACTCCCAGGCTGGCTCAGGAATTCTGGGAGTTGAAGTCCACGAGTCATAAAAGAGCCAAGGTTGCCTACCCCTGGAATAGCACATTCATTTACTAGAAAAAAATATAAAATTGAGTTGAAGAATAATATGTTTTTTCAATATATTTGCAAGTTTTCCAAGACCTATAATCAGACAAAATGTGAAGTGAGAGAAAGGAAGAAAAAAATGTGACCTATTTTTGAGCCATCTCAGTACCAGATTATTTTCTAAAATGTAAGGTAATGTTAAACTGCATAGAGCCTATCTCGTACCTTGCTAGATATCAAACATTAATAAATCCTTCATTTTGAAATATATTTTCCAGCTTTTAATTACTATTGTTTCCATTAAGAATAATAACTCATGTTGGGAATTATAAAGTTGTACACAATCCATCAGAAAAGCAATGAGGGATGCCTTCTTATGAGATGAGGAATGAGAAGGTTTCTCTAGCATATTTTCAAATGTGATAAATTACCTAATGAAAGGCTGCTTCTTCATTTTAGAAGAATCCCAAGAACTGTTGAGACTATATGTGTTGCCTGTAACTGTCTGTGGAAGACCATCTAATGGTGTATATGGAAGTACTGTTTCTTAATAACATTGGATAAGATTTTGATATGTTTATCTTTTTTCGTAACAGAGTCCTTGAACACATTGGAAGATACTGATTTAGATACTTTAATGGCTGATCTTATAGCAGACATCAGTGAAGTAGAAAAGACCACATTACAAGAACCAAGGGATACCTCTTACAATGAGCAAGGTGCCATTATGCAGCCACCAGCAAAGGCTACTCCTACTTGTGGAACTCAGTCAGTGCTAAGTAATATTCCTCCCCATGTTGAGAATGAGTTACCAGCCCCTCCTGCAGAAATGCCAATGCTGCCACTAACCCTTCCAGCCATTCCTCTGCAGCCGCTCACTCAGGTTAGCAACCAGAGAATTCCTGAAGAAGTTCTTATCTTAATATTCTCAAAATACTGGCACACCGACATGAGATAAACTAGATCCATGGTGGCGAACCTATGGCACGCATGCCACAGGTGGCATGCAGAGCCCTCTCTGTGGGCACACGCACTGTCGACCCAGTCCTAGGCCTTCAGCTGGGTTTTATAAAACCTTTTCGCTTTAGGCCTCGGCCGCCATGTGCAAAAAAAAAAAGGTTCAATCAATCAATTTCAACTTCTTGTGGGGAAAAAAAAGATCTCGCAAAGTTGGAAATAATTGATTGAACTTTTTAGTCCCACCCAGTCTGCTGTTACACTGCAGCCACGCCCACCCAATGGGCCACACCCACCCGGCACCTGACGATACATGTGGGTTTTGGGTTGCAGTTTGGGCACTCGGTCTCTAAAAGGTTTGCCATCACTGAACTAGATTATCAAAATGTCAGTTTCTGATGCATCTAACTTTTGTAATGTTTGTTGTGGAAAGTTATAAATCTTAGTACAATTTGGGAAGGTTTGTTACTTAAAAAGATTGAGGAAAGAATGTAATGTTTCTAGACTTAAGCTCTTAGAGTAATCTAACAAATAATTCAGGCTGAGGAAACCCTATGTGGAACAGGCCAGTGGCTATTGTATGGAAGATGATGTCATGCATGCTTATTTAATAGCAAGTCTCATGAACTTATGTCTGACTTTTGCAAGTATGGGTAAAACTGCAGAATAAAAGCTTCAGGATGGGCTTCAGCCTGATGTTTATACATCATCTTATTTCTTCAGAAACTATCCTAAGATTACTATATTCGCTATAGCAGGGGTGTCAAACTCAATTTCACTGAGGGCCGCATCAGCATTGCGGTTGCCCTTGGAGGGCCGGGTGGGTGTGGCCAGAGTGGGTGCAGCCTACTGGGTGGGTGTGGATGAAATGGGTGTGGCCTACTGGGTGGGCGTGGCCAGTTCTACATCATTCGCGTCAAGGGTGCCTGTGGGGGCCTGGGCAGGAGTGGGACAGATCTGAGGGTCTCTGGCAGAAGGAGGTGGGACTGGGGCAAGTGCGAAGGCATGGTCCACCGGGGCAAGTGTCAAGATGGCCACCACAAAATTGTACATTGGCTCCCGGCTGGCCTGGGCCAGGGCCAAGGCAGCGGGGGCCGTTTCCTCACTGTTTCCAGGATGGCTTTGTGGGCCACATGAAATCACTTCGTGGGCCGCATCCGGCCCCCGGGCCTTGTGTTTGACATGTCTGCGCTATAGCATGAGCAAGGATATTCAGCAAGCTATGTTCATTCAACTATATACCAAATGTACACTCCTCCCAAAGAATGGTTATTATCTGGAATGATTAGTAGGGGAAGTTTTTAATCTGTTTCTAGATGTTAATCTCTGCTGAAAGGAATGCCAGGATACTGGAAGAGGAGGAGGAGGAGGATTACAAGTAGTCCTTGACTTACAACCATTTGTTTAGTGACCGTCTATGGGAGATGGAAGCTTTACTCTCAAATATTGTTGAAAACTACAATGAGGGTGAATGAGCATGGTCAATACACTGATGTTTCCACTGACTTTTTTCATTTTGAAGAGACAAGATATTTCCTGAATTAATTGTCACATTAAGCTGAAGAGAAAATTACCTGTTCAAATATACAAGATGCTGCAAATAAAATTGCAGAGAATGGTAGAATGATGAATGAAAGATGAAGAATGAGTTTATTGAGACCTAATTAAAAAAAAGAGTCTCATAACTATGTATCATGGTTATAAGACAAGTCATTTGGCTATTGCCCCCAATTTTATTTTTAAAAACTAGCCTTCTGTGAGTGCAGCTGAAGTGATGAAGTCAGCATAGTGAGGTGAATCATAATGATCCATCCATTGGGGAGAAGGAAAAGGAGCTGAAGCTTGTTGTGGGACAAATATGGGATTTAGCATCTTTTGTTTTAGCAAAGTAATAAAAACAGAAAAAACACACTATTGATATAAAGTGTAGTATAGTGATTGATAAAAACAAAAGGAAAAGAAGCAACACATTTCAAACAACTCTCAAAAAGATGCCGATGATGAGACTGTATACTTGAAATAGGGTGGGGGAGAGAAATCCTAATTTTTGGTCATTTTTAAAAGGGGTAATAGAGAAACTTTCCAAAATGCAGTAAGAACCTTTTTTGGGGGGAAATTATGAAATGATGATGGACAAGCATGTTTTAAATGACCTTTACAATTTTATTTCCATCTCCTCCTAGGAAGCACAAGAACAAGCAAAAGCTGACAAGATTAAACTAGCATTAGAAAAACTAAAGGAAGCCAAGGTTAAAAAGGTAGGGTTTATATGGTTGCACTGCCCACTATCCACTACCCATTATTCACTTCCATTTCTTTAAATGCCATGTTTGATGCACAGGTTCTCTTTAAGGAAAGTTAAACCAAATTACAAATGCATCCAAATTGTAACTTTTAGATTTATAACAGAAATAAGTTATTAAATGCTTTGTGGGTATATTAAGGGTATTTAAATGCTGTGGTTATATTTTTGGACAAACTGGGAACAGTGCTTCTTTTCTGATGTCAACCCTATAAGGTAGACTAGATCAGGAAACCAATGCCATATGGGTCAGATCTGTTTTTATTGTAAGAGTTCTAGTAATCGAATCTTGCAAGTCTGAATGTGCTTCCATCTTTCTCACTTTACCTTCATGTGAATTAAGGAGGATTTTTTTTTCAAATTAATTTCTTAGGATGGGCTCAAGTCCCACCTATCTGACCATTGCTTTGGTAGCCAGTGTTCCTTTCCTGTCTTTCAAGGCCATTCCCTAAGCCCTGTAGATCTGCCTACACCAGTACCCAAAATTAAGAGCTCTTGCCTAGCAAAAAATACTCCACCATACTGCTGAAGGGGAAAAAAATAGAGGAAATCTAGTTGTAGACCATTGTAGATATGGAAGATAAACTATCAGTGCTTCAAGTCATTAAGGCTAAACCAGCGATAAGCAGGAAGATGCATTTATAAATGTATCCTTATGTAGGTTTTCCAGATTCAACTGGTTAACCACCATGGAAACGTATTAATTTGCATATTGTTGGTGTTCAATCTGATCCAGGAAAACTCTTATTTTATTTCTACTTGGAAGCAAGACCGTATCCATAATCCCAGTTAATGGTTGGGAGAAGGCAATCAACCCATTCAGCCAATTTTGGCCCTGCCTAAAACTCCCATATAGATCTTATGTCTAGTAAAATGGGTACAGGATTGCAGTAGGGGGATATATATCCTATCTGAGATACGTTGCTGACAACTCAAGTATGTAGGAATGTCATAATTTCGTAAATTGCCTTAATTTTTAAAATGCGCACATAAAATAAGCAGAACAAATGCTTGTTCTTTCTTGATTTACTTCTTATTTTTCTGCTATCATAATATTCTTGCTTTAAAATGAGTCTTTAACAAGAAATTGTCAAAATTTACACATATATATAACAAGAATTTCTGAAAAGACTATTGTAAAGGAAAGAGCGTTATAGTGAAAGTTCATAATAAAAATAATGCTGAAATTTCCAGGATTGGTTTTAATGAATTTTCAATATGTCCACTTATGACCACAGTTGCATTAAGTTACTCTTTCTTATGCAAAAAAAACCCATTGCATAAAAAACCTCTCTGCTTTTGGGGCCTTTGATTGGACCCCCCTTAAAATCAAAGAGATATGTTAGAAATGGTTAAATTGCATTAATATGGTGAGAGTCCACACCAAATAATTTCATTTGGATGCAAAGCCAGATTTTAAATGTTGGTCTTTGTGAACATACTGTCCAAAACCAAGTTCACAATTCATTTAAAAATCTTATTTAATCAAAAGCATATGTTAAGACAGGGGAGAACAAATCTGAGGGGGTGATGAATGAAAGATGGATTATTTCTCTCAATCCAATTTGTGATACAGGATGCATTTGAATCTGCAATAATCTTCCATTTTTATCAGCCATGGCAGACTTTTGTGTACTCTGGCCTTTTCTTCCAGGCTGAAATTAACTGACTGATCTATTATTTTCTTCCCAGCTTGTTGTCAAGGTGCACATGAATGATAACAGCACAAAGTCTCTAATGGTGGATGAACGGCAAGTGGCACGTGATGTCTTAGACAATCTCTTTGAAAAAACCCACTGTGATTGCAATATAAACTGGTGCCTTTATGAAATATATCCTGAACTACAAATCGGTAATTTTCAAACCATCAGGCTATATCTTCTGATATTTGTATGGTTTTCCCAGAGAGCGCTTTCTGGATTCAGCCACCCAGCCTGTTTCTGTATTAAATGACAAGTGTGCTGTTTGTTGGGTTCTAAAGCTGTGAATGGCTGGTGTGTGTTTTCATATGTGTATTCATATAGGCGTAATAGGAAAAAACTGGCTAATCAGACAGATGCTCACTTCATACAAATAAGGCTTTTTATCTGCCAGCTAAATTTATCAACACTTTTAGGAAGCTTCTGTGTTTTGATGAAATTATTCTTGTTTCTGCCAATTTAGCAAAAAAAAAATATAAAGGCCTAATTATTAAGATGGACAGTCATTTTAAGTTATATTTCTTTCTCTTCCCCTCACTCCTTCTCTAGAAAGATTTTTTGAAGATCATGAAAATGTGATTGAAGTCTTATCCCATTGGACTCGAGACACTGAAAATAAGATACTATTCTTGGAAAAAAATGAAAAATATGCTGTATTTAAAAACCCTCAGGTAAATTAACATGACAGAGGCCAAGCGTTATTACCCTGTAAGTTGTGAATTTCTAACAGGACCACAAGCATCTTTGAGAGAAGCCACACAAATTTCTTAAAATAATTTGTCCAAGCAAAACTAGTAGCAGTATAAAAACTGGCAGCAGGCTTGGGTAGGTAAAGACTAGAGCAAGTTTTGGGTCTATGCATATATCAAAACCGCCTGCCAATCAGAGCAATTTTGTTTATCATTTAGTTATTTGGTTTTTATTAAAGGGTATCCCAGAAATTCATTTACCATTTTAAAATGTAATGATATTGCAGTTTAAGACTGTCTGCTATAGCTACACCAGTGGAGGGCAGAAAATAGATATGGATTTATTCACTTCTGTAATATAGAGATAAGGATTTAATCAATAAAAGGTACAAATTGCTTATCCACATTCTTAATAATTCACACATTGACTGCCTATAATTAAAAATAATACAGCTTTGATAACAAAGAACAGCTGTAGTGAAGAAACCCCACAGATGTTTCTGGTGATACTGAAAGCAAATTATTCAAGACATAAATAATTGTGTACAAAATCTCTGTCTTCCATAGAACGTTCAAGTGTTCGCCAAAATGTTTTGTTGTTCATATGATTCATTTCTTTCTGGAAGTAAATTTGTTTTGGGGGAGAGGATATCAGATGTGGATGAGTAAAATTAATTCATATTTTGGAAGATGTACTTTTTATAAATGATGAACCATTCTTAGAATGATTACATCAGTGCCTTTCAGGAGAAAAAACAGGACGAAAACATTTTATGAACAGAATCTCTGTATACATGCAACAGAGAAAAAAGTAGATCTCACAAACCTGAAGTGTGTCCAGTATTGATTTACTTTAGGTCATGTAATGATACTTATTATGTTGATTTTAAAGAACAATTTAGAAACAAGAAAAGTTGAGCAGAAATTTTCAAAGATATTTTTTGTTGTTGTTAGTTGCGAAGTCGTGTCCGACCCATCGCGACCCCATGGACAACATTCCTCCAGGCCTTCCTGTCCTCTACCATCTTCTGGAGTCCATTTAAGCTCACGCCTACTGCTTCAGTGACTCCATCCAGCCACTTCATTCTCTGTTGTCCCCTTCTTCTGTTGCCCTCAATCTTTCCCAGCATTAGGCTCTTCTCCAGTGAGTCCTTCCTTCTCATTAGGTGGCCAAAGTATTTGAGTTTCAACTTCAGGATCTGGCCTTCTAAAGAGCAGTCAGGGTTGATCTCCTCTAGGACTGACCGGTTTGATCGCCTTGTAGTCCAGGGGACTCGCAGGAGTCTTCTCCAGCACCATAGTTCAAAGGCCTCAATTCTTTGGCACTCAGCCTTTCTTATGCTCCAACTTTCACATCCATACATTGCAACTGAGAAAACCATGGCCTTGACTATACATATTCAAAGATATATAAAACACTTATTTTTGCTCCTAAACTTATATTCTAGAACAGGGATTCCCAACCAGGGGGTGCAAGATGATATTCCAGGGGGTGCGAAAACTTGGGTTTTCAAAATTATAGTGTATATGCATAATTCGTTGCCGTTATTTCAAACTTTTGTAAGGGGTACGAGAATATATCAGAAGCGTTCTAAGGGTGTGGGGTGTAGAAAAGGTTGGGAACCACTGTTCTAGAATAATCACTATGGGTATTAATGTAGCACTAACACCGACACTTTCTAGAATTCCTGTCTTTGTTGGGTTGAAACCCTGTGGCTATCATCACATTTAGTAGGCTGTAGACATGACTGTTTTGGGTGCTCAGCAGCTGGCCTGTATTTACAGCTGTTGCATACATTAAATACTGTTGATAACATGACCATGATCCATGATGTTTTTGCCTAAAACTGGTATATATTTTTGGTTTTTGGCAAATATGCACCATAGTGAACCACAGGTTCCCTTAATGCCATTAAATTTGGTTACAACTTACGACTATAGTGGGCAGGCTCCTGTTTATGGGGAAATACAATTTATTTACAAAAAAGAAAGACTATTTCTTTCAAATAATTTAACTTTAAAATAGGAAGATTTGGTGAAAGTTCAGTAATGAAGGCAGACAATTTGTTTGTATCCTTTTTGGAAGGATGTTGCCATCAATTCAGAGTCATCCTCCTTTTAGCTAAGTGTAGTACATTTCTCTATCCTTATTTTTGTAATTGGTTTTCTCAGAGCAATCATATAAAGAGGTTGTATTTCATGGAACTACTGCAATGATTCAATAAGTAGAAGGTCAAAGCTTTTTACCAAAAGTTAGGGCTTCAAATAAACCTACATTTTCCAAATAAATGAACCAATAGAAATGACTTCTTAAGGTAATGCTGATTTCCAACATAGCAAAATAAACCTGCTTTTTTGTTGGCATAATTGGAGTGTCTCAGTACATGAAGCTTTACTTTAGGCTTATCCTAAGGTTTTAATTTATCCTAAGATTGCAAACAAGATATATGCCACAGGGAGAAAAAGTAGATCTCCTAAGTCTGAAGTGTGTTTTGTTCAGTGGGAAAGACATAATTTGGTGCAAAGTCTCTGTGCAGTGCAGTGCAGTGCAGTGCAGTGCAGTGCAATGAGCCAGAGAATCCACTCCTTTTTCAGTTAATTAGCTGGACGTTGTATAGTTAATAAGGAAGAGCCAGGTGCAGTTATTCAACAGTGAAAATACAGATAATGACTATCCAGCTGCTTCATTCATTGCATACCAGCTTTCTTGTGTACTGATGGATGAAGGGTGGCCTAGATGAAATAATTTTAGTCTAACGGTGCTCTAGTTTCTCAAAAAAAAATAAGAACTGAACAAGAAACATGAACGTTTTCTGGGATATTTTAATATTCACATTAGGCCAGCTTGATTTCTCCTTCCATGTTTGTTAAACATGGGACATGAGAAAACACGAGAAAAAAAATTCTTGATGTGTGTAGGACTGCAAGTTCCATGATGCCCATCACATTCTACAAGGCAAAGTTATTTTCTTATTTAAACTGCTGGCAACAGAATTGTGTTTGTTCAGTGGGGAGAAAAGCAGCAAGAAGATTGGACTTGGTGTCTACACAAAATGCAAAAAACAGCATTGGTAGACTTCCTAGGAATATCTTTACTGTGCAAACCTCATTATAAGTAATCTGGGGTATAGAAAGAGATCCTCATAGTATTACATAAGTTTGTTTAGAATTTTAATTTTCTTGAATTTAGGAACACTTTCCCTAGGAAATGCTGTTAACATTGGATTCTCGGTGTTATCAGTCAGTAATGCCCCAATTTAAAATAGCCATAAGCCTCTTCCAGAAATGAATGTTTCCATTACCATTGGTAGCTGGATCCATTGAGACAGGATTTGGAATACTTAACTGCCTTTTTCTTATTGTTGATTTTCTCATCTGATGTGCCCCAAAGCAGAAGAAAGGAAACAATCCTGTTACAATGATTGAGGACAATATTTCTCAGTTCTAGCAAGTACTGTATAAGATATGTGGACTTCAACTTCCCAAATTCTCTCCAAGATACTGGCTGGGGAATTTTGGAAGCTATAGTCCACATGGATAAACACTGATCAAGCAAAATCTAGAGCAGTTTAGTTAGAGGGGCTTATCTTGGAGGATAAACTCTATTTCTTGCTCTGTGCTTAGAGCTTTTTATTTGAAGGAAAACTTGTTTGTAAGTAATAAAATAGATAGCTGATGAGAAAGATAGCTAAAATGCAGCTTGACCTAATATCATCCTGTCTCGGTCATGTTTGGGGGCTTATTTAAGTAGTAACCGGCTATTTTATTGGTTCATTTGTCTTTTTTTATTAGAATTTCTACTTGTCAAACAAAGGAAAAAATGAAAGCAAGGAAATGAATGAGAAAAGCAAAGAAGCATTATTGGAGGTAAACTTATGTTAACAAATTGTGCATTTGATTGTAAAACAACTGCTTAAGTTCTTCCTTGTTCCTGAAATAGAACTGAAATATTTCAGTTCTCCATTTGATGCAATATAAAAACAGGAAGTTCAGACTTCAGGGTTGTATTTTAAAAGTCTAAAAATCAAGTAACTTTAACATGTGTAACATGAGGAAACTGATTCTGACAATTTGGGTCAAGTTAGAACCGATTCACAGGACCATGGAAACCGACCTTGACAGTTATATGAGTTTAGGAAACAAATTGATTCTGTGATAGACCCATGACAAAGGGCTGGCGAGAGATATCTCAGCCATAGAAGGAATGGAGACATAGAAAGCATCTCGGAAGAGTCTCCTTCCTTCTCTGGGATTTAAAGGCAAGAGAGAGAAGAAGTGCTTTCATAACTCGAAGTGATTTGTCCCAGTAACCTTGCAATAAGAGTTAGTATTCATGGGTTTGGTTTCCTGCCTGGATGACCTTAAAGGGCTAACAGATATACTCAAAAAAATAGAAACTTGTCATCTCATTCCAAACATATCCGAAGATCCAGGGCTTCCTAAAGGCTAGGTTTTTGCTTGGCTTCACCATGCTAAAGAGGAATATTCACTAATTACTGTGAGGTTGTCCAAAATAATTATTTACCTTCTCATGGGAGGCAGCAGGGCATGCTGATTGTATACCTGGCTCCCCGCTATGTATCAGCAGCCCTACCCGAGCTACTCAGTGTGATAGCCGAGATGGCGATTGAGACCCCCAGACTGTTAGTCATGGGGGATTTCAATCTGCCATCGTTAGGTGAAGCATCTGAGGTGGCTCGGGAGTTCATGGCCTCCATGACGGCCATG